AATGTATGCGCATACGCATTATGGATGGGCGCCGGAGTACGCGCCGATGAATTGGGTACAGGGAAAGTACGCCGGTATGGGGCATATACGGGGCATATGGGGCACACCGCCGCCGCAAAGCATCTCCTCGCCTGGCTTGCTGGCACTCGATGAAATGAACTAAAACGTTGGTTGGGGGTTCCTAGAAGTATCAGTTAAGTTCTATTGTGATGTGATTTTGTTCTGGTCTTCCGATTTCGTACTTTTCCTTTATTATTCCATATTCTTTTATATTTTGAACGACATATTACTGATTTTTCGGAAGTCAATGTTTTGGTTTTGAAAAAGACTTAGGGCAGTTTCTATTAAAATTTAATATGCAATCAAAAACAGAAGAAAATGGGAAAAAATTCGCTAAAAATTGTTTTTTTTCATTTGTTCAAAAAATGTCTCACTTTCACTTTTTTGAAATTGCATGAAAAATTGAAAATTTTTATAATTTAAACTTTGTAATTATTGTATACTTACCAACTTACCTTTTATTCCACCTGAAAATACGATTTTTACAATAATTACAAAGTGAAATCTAAAAATCTCAATATCACCTATTTTGGCGAAAAACATAGCAATTAACGAGTGAAAGACATGTTTCTGCAAGAATTCAGCGATTTTTTATTCTGCCATAACTCTTTTTCACAAAAAAAGTCGAAGGAATAATCGAAAAACCAGAAATGTAGGCTCGAATTGACGAAAAATTGACAAAGTTGCCGGTGTGGATTTACGGTAAACAATGGGCGCATCCGGGATTTCGGAGTGTTGTAGTCGGCCTACCGTATCAGACCCATATCGCACACATCGCTCACCCACCTAGAATCCACCTAGGATACGCGCGCATTCGGAACACTCGATTCAGCCTCTCCCGCATCGCACACATATGAGGCTCATCGCAGCTCATTGTTCGCGATATGTGTCAAACGGACTTCTAGAGGATCGCATATGGATCGGGTCCTTTATGCGCATCATCGCCCAGGACCTGTGAAAGATAGATAATACTACTCTCGAACATCACACAAATAAATTTTGAACAGGGTTGGATTATCAGAAAGTACTTTATTTTCCGTCACAAAATGACATACTCAATGAAAATAGTCGTTTTTCACAATTATATCACGAATGGAAGCTGAAACGCTCGATTTCTTTACATATTCGGATTCTACGGAAAATTTCACATGAATTGATGTTTGTGAGATATTCCAAAAAGTTGGCCGAAAAAAAATGCGAAGCACATTTGTATCAAAGACATGCGGGTTCGATTTCGCTTTTGAAAAACTTTTTTTTTCACATTAAAAAAAATTTTCTGCATGACATCGGTACTTGAACGATGCATTGATGAGTATTTCTTCTCTTCAGATACTATTTTCTCCGTTCCAGCCGTCCGAAACCGAAATTTCGGCAGAAAACGGCTCGAGAAAACAATAGGCTTTTTCAGCAACGCCCCGCCCACTCGCGGAGAAAATGGACGAAAATGAGAAGCACAAAATGGGCTGTAACTCGGGAATGAGCGATTATTTTTGAACGAAATTTTGGAAATATGCTAATTAGGAAGAGGAGATCATTTTAAAATACAAAGATTTCAAGAAAAAACTGTTCGAAAAAAATGTTGTGGTCCCTAATTATAGTAGATAATAATTTCATAAAAACTTGCAACAAAAACAACAACATACAGTACTGGCCAAAAAGGTATTCGCAAACGGTTTTTTGAGAGTAACTTTGCTGAAACTTAAGGGATCGATCTGAAAATTTTACTGTGCATGTCGTACACGGTGACGACAAATTGCGTACAAGGAAATTGCATCATTTTCAGAAATTTTTTGTTTTTTTCAATTTTTTCAATTTTTTCGTTTTTTCACTTTTTTCATATTTTTATATTTTTGGATATTATGGTTTCTAAGAATGTTGGTTTTGGCTCCTATGTATTTAAAACTGTTTACAGACATGGCCAGACCCCTCGGAAAAAAAAAAAAACATCTCTCAGGACATCCGTAAAGCCATC